TATTAGGATCCAAATCAAGGGCCACATGGCACAGTGGATGGAAAAAGTAAATGGCAGCTCATCTCTGAATGCAGACACACGCAGTCTGGCAGGGCCTCTCTACTTCCATGTCATTTTGCTTCCAGCAGGAATAAACGCATGTCTGCCTATAGAGCCTAGATTATAGAGAGACATCTCTGGAGATTATCAGTAACTTGGTTACTTAATTGACAGCTGGCTGAATCCTTAGAGCTGTAATTTAGAAAGAAAATTTTATGAAGTTTAGGCGTCATCCGTGTTTATGTAAATTTGCCCTTTTGCCCAAACCTACATGTCATGGTTTCCTGGATTGCTGATATCCCTATGTCTTCTGGTTATATCCAAAGATATAACTTAAAAGCTTTAATTCAGAGCCCTCTGTTGCGTCTGCATGCTGTCCTTTTGAAGATGACTAAAAGCAGCCATGAAAGCTGCTCCGAATTGGGAGTGCCCGAAGCTGCGTTTTGCAACGAGAGCAGCAAAGGACTGCCCTCAGAGAAAGCAGTGTCCATTTCTCCGTGTCCATTCTAGGCTCATTTGTGCAATTGCTGCCTTCTCCATATTACCACATAACTTCTTTGACTCTGAAGTGGAAGGAAGCAAATTTCAAAAGCCAGGAAAACTCCTTGTGTGGTTTTAGCGGGAGCAGCATATTACAAAATGGAGTGGATGTCAAATTTGCATCTTTTGAAAATTGAACTCAAGGAGGTATTATTGCTTTTAGATCCAAGTGCATTAAGAAGTCTCAGGGATAAGATGGCTGGTGTTTGACCTTCATTTACATTTGAGTGTTTGGGTCAGGTTGTTACCCAGTCCTGTGCAGCCCATATGGAATGTTGCATTTGGACTCAGCATTATACACCAAGCTTCATACATTGCTTTCTCATAACTTGATGAGGTTGGGGATTTCCCTGGTGATCTGGTAGCTAAGACTCTGAGCTCCTAATCAGGAGGCCTGGTTCGATTCCTGATCAAGAAACTAGGTCCCACATGTCACAAGTGAAAGATCCTGCCTGCCACAGCTAAGACCTGGTGCAACCAAATAAATACATAAAATTTAAAAAAATTTAAATTTATCATTAAAAAAAAAAAAACCATGAGATTGTATCCCCATATCACAGATGAAGGCACTGAAGCTCTTAAGATTTCCATCTTCCCCCATCCCTTGGCCTCCTCTATCCTGGGCAGAGATCAGAAGTCACCTTGTACACCTTCTCTGTAGGCATATTTCAGAGCTGCCCAAATTGCTTAGTTAATGTCTCTGAGGTTTTTTTAAGTGGCACATTGCTTGAAGCAGTGAGTGGAAGAAATTATTTCAAGTTAGTCTTATGCCTTCCTGGAACAAACCCACTTATTAATATGCTGTTAGGATTCTAATCCCGATTTTTAAATCCAAGACATGAACTGGAAAGTAGATTCCGTATTATTAGTAAGTTATTTTGACCAGCCAGTAATCTTCCTTTTTCTCCCTCTTTCTGTCCGTCTTCTAAACCTCAACCATATACACCAGCAATAGAGGCTGTGTAGGTAAGTGGACATTGTAGAAGGCTTTTCATTTTCAGGATTGCTTAGAATCTAGAGTCTGGCTCTTGAGCCTGAATGAGACCAGCCTTGAGTAATCAAAGACAGAGATGGTAGAGTCAGAAGCAATCAGAAATTGAAGGCGGATTAGGGTGCCAGGTAATTTTCTTTTTTCATGGGCTACAACATTATTGGTGGATGTAAGTCACAAGGAATTAGAACACTTTCTCTCTCTGAACTTTCACATCATCTGATAAGCCTAAATGCATTAAAGGGTTCCCCTCATTACAGATCACACCCCTATTATTGGGATCAAAAATCAGAGTATCCAGGGGAGTTTCTTGGTGGTCCAGTGGTTAAGACCCCACGCTTCCAGCGCAGAGGGCACAGGGTCCATCTATGATTAGGGCACCAAGATCCCACATTCTGCAGGGTGTGGCCAAAAAATAGGAAAGAAAATCAGAGTATCTGTTAAATGTTGCTACAGTGAAAGAAGGGTAACACCATTTTGTAGAAGCACATGAGTTGATCAAGTTGATTGTAAATGTTGTGTCTTGTGATGTGAGATCTCATTGAGAAACCATGCAGACAAGCCATAAATAAGTAAAGTGTATTAATTAAGAAAATGGTTAAAAAAAAAAAGAAAGAAAATGGTTAAAAAAAAAAAAAAGAAAGAAAATGGTTGATATTACAGCCTGTCCCCCATCTTCCACCTCTGTACACAGTCATGAAACTGAGGTAAATGTTGCTTTTTAGTAAATGATCCCAATTAGTTCATTGGTGCTTCTGGTCAAGGCCAACTTGGCTGGTCTTTGCAGAATGCAGTTGGTCCTTCTAAGGCTGGTTGGTCTCAAATAGACTTACTCTCCTGTCTGGTCATTGGCCTTGGTCTAGGATGGCTTCAGCTGAGACTGTGTGTGTCCACTCCTGTGGTCTCTTGTCCCCTCTTGTAGCTAGCCTGGCATTCTTCACCTGGTGGTTTCCAGATTTCAAAGATTAACAAGACAGTATAAACCCTTGCACCTGACAGCTGGTATAAGCCTCTCTCTGCATCGTGTCTGCTGTTGTCTTTTTGGCCAAAGCAAATGTGGTCTTGCCCAGTTTCAAAGAGTAGAGAAATCGATCTGCACTCTTGATGAGAGGAGTAGAAAATTACCTTTCCAAAGTGTGTGTGACAGGGAAGTCAGGAGTTGGTGGCCATTTGCCATTTCCCATGTACGTTAGAATAACTAAGTAGTTGAACTGGCATTAACATGTTCAGCAGCCTGAATCTGGATAAGGGAGAGGGGGGACCATGTTTTTGTCTGTAACTTCAATTTGATAAGGGGTGTTTGTCTGGAGTCTTGCTTTATTCTATCACTCTTAAAGTTTGGCTGTTCACTGATAGACTCTCTTATCTTGCATTCTTGAATTGTATTTCCATTTTGGTTAAATTTTAACATTTTTAATTAGTCTATGCTGTGGTGCAAATATTATTTTTTTCCCCATTGTGTGGTGGTCTGTGGATGTTTGCCTTTCAGGAATGTTCTGTTCTACAGCCGGTGTATTAAACCCCTGGTTTGAGCTTCCCCTCAGGCCATTTTGGAAGTACACTCATGACAGCTTGGATTTCTACCATTGTGCTCTGATACAGAGATCCCTTTTTTTTTAATACTTGTAGTCTTTTTGATGTAGTGCCAAATTCCACCTCATTTTATTAGTCTATAAACATAACCCCATACACAGTGACAACTGTGTTTGAATTTAGTCATAACTCAGGGCTCCAGACATTAATATGTAATCACTGTTAACTCAGAGCATCCATTCTGTGTTTCTGTCTCAACTTAATGCGTGGTTGGAATCATGGGCTAGTTAATTCCTTGCATTTTTCTGAGTGTTATTGGATGTTTAGCAGCAGCCCTGCCTCTGCCCCCTTGATGCTCATAGCCCCACCCCCGCTGCCCTTGCTCATAACAACCAACATTGTCTGCAGACATGACTACATGTCTCCTGGGTGGAGATGGGGAGTGGGAGATAGGTAAAAATGCCTCCAGTTGAGCCACTGCTGAGGCGGAAGAGAGAAAGGCATTGCGAAGTATGACTTCTTATTAGAGAGCAAACTAGGATTGGCAACCAGACAAGGAGAATTGCAAGGGAGGAAGAGGTGCACTCATTTTTTCAGTTACCTTAAAATTTAACCTACGGCGGCCCCGGATTCCCCTGGACTAACCAGGAAACATCAGGTTGGATCTTGCTACATGTTGAAAGGTTCATCAATATCTCAACTTCATTATGTTAGAAGTGGCTTAAATGTAAATAGCATCCCTGAAACAAAAAGAAGTTTCAGGAGATACACTGGTCATAGATAATGGATTTGGAGAAACTCAGTTGGAAGAAGTTCAATATACACAAAAGCAGAGAAAATCATATCATGGCCCTTCTGATTCTCATGCCCTAAGATCCTAAATGTGATTAATGGCCAGTCCTGATGCGTGTGTGCCCTGCTCGCTTCCCCTGCTCCCCATTGCTGAATTCTTTGGAAGCAAAAATCATTTCATTTGTTGCTATTTCAATATGTGTCTCAAAAAAAGAACTTAAAAACCAAAATTATAACATGCTGGTTAAATTTTAATCTTCTGGAAAAGAGAAGATTGAGAGTTATACTGAGCAGTATCAAAAGCGAGGGGGAAAGTATGTGTCAGGATCAAAGAAGCTTGACATTTGAGGGGATTAAAAACTCCAGGAGGAGGAGAAGGGGTGTCCCCTGGTGGTTTAATGGTTAGGATTGGCGCTTCCACTGCTGTGGCCTGCATTTAGTCCCTGATCTGGAAACTGAAATATCCAGCAAACTGTGCAACATGGCCAAAATTTAAAAAAGAAAGAAAGAAAGAAAAAAAAGGTAAAAAAAGTAAGCTCCAGGGGGGAATCGAGGTTGGAGACATTGTCTCTTTGAGCTCCTTTCCTCACTGTTTCCGCTGCCTAAGTGACTCTTAGAAATGCCTCTTTGAGCATAAGCTAAGGCACATGGGACTGGGATCAAGAAAAGGAGAGAAGGCTGGCAGGGAACAAATCCATTTTCAAAAAAGAAGAGAAAAAAAAAATCCCAAAAAGGTATTGAAATATTCGGTCAGTGATGGGTTGCTCTCTGATGACTTTCAATGAATTTTTAGCCAGTTGTGGTCTACTTCTAATAAAACAAAGCAAGGGAAAAGTCAGCTTGTTTTTTAAGATCTTGCTGGGACAACAGTGTTTCTCTCCTGTTCTGATGTATTCTGAGAAGTTTCTCTCTTTTGATTTAGCCCTCCTCACTTGATTTTGTGATGTCATAAATCTCCCGTGTTTGGTGAGAGGCATGGTGTATGTGAGATCCAGGCAGCTTGCTCGATAGCATCCCCCCCCGGCTTCTCTTTAGAAGATTAAATTGAGACCCTTGTGTCTGATGCCAGAACAGATTTAACCAGTCATGTTTCCTTTCCATATAGGTCAGTCCACGGGACAATTCCGCACTGGATCCTATTATCCACGGGTTGAAGGGCGTCGTCCATCACGGTAAGGCAGCTGCGCACACTTCCCTTTGGCTGGGGTGGGGAGGGCTAAGGTCTCCACCTGAAGGAGTGGGTTATCTTGCAGAGGACGGAGCATGACACCCATTCCTCATGCCCTGATGGTGAAGGGCATGAGAGCCATTATTTGATGGGTAAAGAGCACACCCATTTATTACCTGCAAATGGATCTAGGTTAACAGTAAGCCATTTGTTTCTCTTCAGGTACCACTCAGAATGCATATGTTATAAATCAGAACCTCTTAAGAGGTACCATTCATACACACTGAACCTGCCACCTGCCTCATAGCTGTCCTAAATTGATTCCCTTTTCAAGTAACTTTTCATTTATGAATTTCTTGATTTGCCTCTTGAGATTTTGGGGAATAAGTTTAAGTAACCCTGACAAGTCATTAAGCTTTGCTGCATGTGAACAAGTACCATCAGCTACTGGAATGGAAAATGCTGGGCCGTGTTCTGTGCAGTAGACATGTCTTATCCTCAAGCATAAAACTGGGAGGGAAAGTAAGATAGATGGGTTCTGTCTTACCCAACCTTTTTTTATTGGAGGAATTTCCCTGCAACTTTATTATTGGCGATGCATCATTACCTATGACATCAGGATCGTCTAATTTCAAAAGTACCCTGTCATGGGGAGGTGTGGAGTCGAGAAGTAATGTAATGATTTGCAAAGTTTTAATAATCTAATTAGAATTGCAAAGACATTGACAGAAGTAGCATTAGTAACCATAATAAATCTCCCCTTCACCTCCGTGGCTGTGATAAAACATCTTCACACCTTTCTGGGAGGGTGTCTCTCCACATTAGCCAACTCTGCCGAGCTTAACAAACATCTGACCAGCTTTCTCTCAGGGAAACAAAACCAGTTTTCAGTGTTCAGTGGAAGCAAGTAGGATTTGGGATTCATTCTTCTGCTCTTAGAACTGTTCAATCGTACAGCAGGTAACAAGAATAAACCTAGTAAATGTAAAAAAGTAGGATGAGTTGAAAACACCCCATTGAGGTCTTCACTGTAGGAAATTTCCATTGCTTCTCCATTTCTGAAGAAATCTCCTCACACGAACCTGGGAAGTAGGTGGTATGGACAGTTCCCTTAGGGAGCAAAACTCTTTTGCCAACTCTTAGGCTGTCTGCCCCTCGAGACTTGATGTTGATAACAGTATAGGAGGAGATTTGCATTGTACTCTGAACAGTTTCAAAAATGCACAGGATGTTGGTGTCACGGGCAACATGCTGTGTTCTCTGAGCTGTTTCTCAGAGGATGCCCTAGAAATCTCCATTGATGAAACAGCTTCTTGAAATTCCAGCCCATTGTGTAGATGATGAGTTTGGGGGGGTTCAAATGTACTGAATGATGGACAGGCGTTCCTTCCCCCTGGCTCTTCTTGTTGTTATAATGCAGTCACCCCACAAAGAACTCTAGAATCTTTGAAACAGGTACCTCTTCTTCAGCCTAAAAGGAAGTGCTCCATCAGCTGTGGCACTTGAATGGGTGTGTGTCGCCTGTCACTGGTTCCACCATGATCAGTGAAGGAGATTCCATATGTTGGAGAGAAGCAGTAGGCTTCCTTTAGCCCCCAAGTCCCCAGATCTCAGCAAACGCACTGCATTGTGATCCTTTGTTTCATGAGCTGCAGGCTGGCATGATCGTGTTATCCTTTGTCATTCTTCACAATTACCCTCTAAGAGGCTGTTATGTGTAGGGATGTGGTACCTGTTCTGGCAGGGATGCCCATGATGTGGTTTCAACTCTGCCTCCTAATTGAAAAGTCAGAGGAGACCTGCGAAAAATAGCTGCAAAGGAAGTTCACTACTACTTCTTTTTTTTTTTAAGTTTTAGAACTCAGCATTCATGTCAGTGTAACTCAGAAGTCATTATCCCCTGGAGGGGTGGACAGATTTCTTCTTTGACACACAAGGGAATGTGTTTCTTTTGTCTCTTAAAATCTGGAAATGCTCTTTTTTTTTTTAACTTTTGGTATTGGGGTACAGCCAATTAACAATGCTGTGATAGTTTCAGGTGAGCAGCTAAAGGACTGAGCCGTACATATACATATATCTATTCTCCCCCAAATCTGTTTATTAATCATTGATATTTGACAGGAAGGCTTGAGCATTCCTATTTGTGAGTATGTTTGGTTCAGCTTTAGTCTTCTGGTCAAAGTCTCCTCTTGGTTTGGGCACACGTGGCTGGCGTAGCGCTAGGGCTTCCTTGAGTTATTCATCATGCCCAGTTGTGGAACTCGGATCAAGGTTTCTAATGTCTGGCTTTTATCCTGATTATGTTAAGTAACATATACTGCAAAGGGCACCCAGACATGTGCCAAGCTGAGGTGAGGAACCGCAAAGTCACTTCTGCGAATGGAGGGACTTAGCCCGGGAGGGAGTCCCAGCCATTCTGGGAGAGGATGCCTTCCATGTTCCAGCACAGGTCTCATCAGGGCCTTGTGGTGGGGGGAGAGTGTGGGCTTTGGAGCCGGACTGGCCTTGGTGGGGATCTCGGCTTTTCCACTTCCTGGCTGGATCAACAGCTGCCTCTTGAGCCCCTCTGAGTAAGTTCACTTGTTTATTCTGCAGAAGGGTTGCATGCCCACTCAGTCTGATCACTGGACTGATGCACTGGTGAAGACGGACACAGGTCAGCCCTCAGGGACCCAGGAGAAGGTGAATGCCACCCCCTCCCCCTAGACTGCCCAGACTGTCACCCCTTCCAGTCTTTGCATCTGCTGTTTCTGTTTCCTCTGCCAGAGAAGTTCAATTCAGAACCCAGGTGTCTTCCTCTAATTATTTCAGGTCTTGGTTCAGATCTTGCTTCCTCAGACAATTCTTCCTGTATCCTACCCAACTCCCCATTGGCTCCCTACTCCCATCATTCCTTGTCATCTCATCTTAGGTATCTTTCTTTGAAGCTTTTAAAGGTATCTGAATTAACGTTGTTTATTTACTCCTGTGTGAGTGTGCTCATTCGCTCAGTTGTGTCCGACTCATGGCAACCCTGAGACTGTAAGCCCCCAGGCTCCTCTGTCCGTGGGATTTCCCAGGCAAGAATACTGGAGTGGGTTGCCATTCCCTCCTCCAGGGCATCTTCTTCACCCAGAGGTCGAACCATCATCTCTTGTACCTCCTGCATTGGCAGGCAGGTTTTTTACCACTGAGCCACCAGGGAAGCCCATTTACCCTGTATTATCTCCTCAAGTGTAAGCTTCACGGGAGCAGAACCCATGTGTATTTAACATCCTCAGGAATGTTAGCCAAAAGAGTGACTCAAGTAAAGATGCAAATAGGTGAAAAACATCAAAATATAAAATTGGGAAAAAAAAAAAAGAGGAGGAACTAAAGGCTGCATAGGCTTTGCTTTCATTGAGAAGAAAAAGAAGTAGGATAATATCTTGGAAACTTGGATTTTGCCCTCTGTTCCTGGGTGTGGCTGACTCACATTTTGATAACTCTCATCACTTCTGTCATTCTTCCAAAAGAGAAGAAACATCTGAAATTGCTTTTTTTAAAAAAATAAAAAAGCTTCTCTTGGAACTAGAAGTGTTTTGAGTTGAAGGTCCTGTGAGGGATTTGACTGCTCTGTTAATGTGATGAGACATAAATAATCATGCCCTTCACAGAGTGTCTGGCTTGGGAACGATGATAGAGACCTGCACAAAGAAGAAATCAATACGGATTTCTGTTCCAGTTCACCATTGTCTTTTATCTCCTCAGCTCTGGGAGTTTTAATCTTAGAATGTTAATTTCTCGTTAAGTGAATTTTTTTTTTTAATAGGAAAAATCTTACCTATTCCTCCAGCTGAAATAGCAATGAGGAATCTGGTTCCACTAGCCAACCACTGGCCTGTGGCCACTGGTGTCCCCTGTGAAGCAGATGCCAAGATTGATTTCAAGGGCAGGCCATGTTTTGGTAGGAAGGGACTGCCTGGAAAGGATAAAGAGGAGAGGGAGCGGGAGTGGGTGGAGAGAGCATTAGAACCCCAACACAGGTCTGACACCTCCAAAGAGAGGGAAGCTCGGAGGACAGGCTGAAAGCATCTCTGAGGAAGTTTCGGCTGGGCCCTCGGAGAACCCCAAAGATAAGGCTGCCCGTAAGAAGAGTCCTCTGTGCAGGAGTGACCCCACCTTACCTGATGTGGTCACTGACTAGAACATCCTAACACGACTGGTCTCCCTGGAGGCACAGCGGCTGACAAGCTCCCCACAGCAGCTTGTCTCTAGAAGGAAGATCTTAGGGCTTCTCCCGTGACTGGCCCAGCCGTTCACATTTTCCTTCCAAAGACGTTTTCCTGATCACCTTGCCAAAAGGTTGCTGACTTGTGCCTCTCACTTTTCAAACGTGCAGAGCTTCTTACAGGCGCTGCTTGCTCCTCTTGTGCGCACTTATTGAGCACCTACAAGTACACCATGAAGCCACGCATAGAGAGCGCAGCTGAGTTTACAGGCAGTCAGGAGAGACCAAGGTTAGATTTGTAATTACAGACTACTCAGACTTGGGATTACAGAGCCGGCATCTCAGACAAAATGACCCCTGAGACCTAAAGAGTTCATAAAGATTGTCCAGGCAGAGAAGGGAGCCTCAGGTTTCAAGCAGCACCAGCACAGAGGTGGCATGTTTGAGACTCTGAGCTCTGAGACCTGGCTTCTCTCATGCTGGGGAGAGGGACCTGGAAACCTCTTGGCAGCGGAAAGTGCGCTGTCTTAAGGGTTCATTTTTCTATGTAAATTGTGATTTTTACAAACTTGAGAGGCGTGAAGAAATAGAATGAAGAGAGGTGATTTGCCATTGATTCTGGTCCTGTCTATCCCTTGAGCCACAGATTGAAGCACTAAACTGTATCTAATCAGAGAATTTATTTACACTACCACTAGCATCTGCTGGAAAGGAAAGGAATTGTGAATCATATTCACTGCACTGACTCAGTCATTCACAATGCTTTTTGTATGTAAGAACCAGGACTTGTGAGCAGCCACACCTGATAGAAATAA